ACTCTTTTATGATATCCCAGCTTAAATAAAATTCTTTAATGACACCTTTTTAAGTCCTACAATTATTCTATGTGCCCGTAATTCTTCATTCAGATATCTCTAATAGCAAGCAAGATTATATTGTAATTCTTATTTACTACATATTTCAATAGTCTGAACTCTTAAATGATCTCCTAAATGCTCCTGAGCATTTAGTATGACAGCTGGTAAATAGTGTCTGGTATATTCCATAAATATTTAATGAATAAGTCACTGTAAATGTTTTGGTGCAGCATTATTCCTCAGTACAGTAAAAACATTTACATTTATTCTTAAAAAATTTACAATCACTCCTAAAGTGGAATAATTCTATAATTTAAATATTAAATTTAAGTTTAAAACAATTTTAATAATTTTATTCTAATTTAATTTTCTAGAGACTATAGACTTATGCTGTCCAAAACAGTAGCGACTAGCTAAATAAAGCTATTTAAATTTAAATTAGTTAAAATTAGACAAAATTATGCCAGCAGTGAAGAAGAGGAATTTGAAATAGAAAATATCATTTACATTTTTCCTGCTGTGGTTGCAGTAGAAGTCAGCCTAGAGGACACCTCATGTGCAGATGAGAAAAACGGGAGAAAGAACAAAGAGGGACCTGGTTGTCTATTAAATGATAAGCTAAATCAGTAAAAGGAGAGATTACGATGATTGTGAAGAGGTGGTCCACACATCACCCAGGGATCACAGAATCACAGAATATTTGGGCAGGAAAGACTGTTCAGATCATCTCTGCTAATATCTATCCACAGTAATGATTTCTCTGCAGGGCCCTGCAGACTGTCTACTTTTTGCTTCAACAATTAAAAGTGATGAAGTGCCTCCCTTCTTTGCAAAATAGATTAATCAGTTTTGACGGATCTGTTAGAAATTCCTTCCTTATAATAAAGTAAGATCTGTTTCCCTGTAGCTTCCATATTCTTTCCTTGGGTGATGCACAGAATGATTCTAATGTATCTTTCCCGTGACAACTCTCCAAATATTCAAAGCATGTCTCCCCTATATTCCTTCTCCAAGTGAAACATCTCAGATCCTTCCATTCTATCTCCTGACAAGGCTTCCAGACCTCTAAATATCCCGGCCACCCTCTCTTGTTAAACCTTGGTTTGCCAATGTCAGCCTTAGAAAGTGACACCCAGAAGGAGTTTAGTATTTTACACATAGTCTGATTAGAGCAGATGTCAGTGAGATTAATGTCCCTAGATACTATACTTTCGCTAATTGAACTCACTTAAATTGAGCTGGTAATGAACTGTAGCTGCCTGGTATTTATCTAAATTGCCCTCAAACCAGGCTTAGTCTACTCTGTACCTGAACAAATTAATTTTATTTGATGCATTTCACCTTGCTAGTTTTGACCCATTCATTCATTTATTCATGTATTCTTTCAACACATAGTGTTTGAGGTCAACTATACACCAAGCTTTAAAGTATCTCCTAGGGACACCAAGAAGAACAAACTGTTCTAACTGGTTGAGATGATTTCAAAAATTAAATGTGTCATTCAGTATAGTTATTTCTGTCACCACTTGTCATCTATAAATGTGACAAATATGATTAGGTTTTTATTCAAGTTAATGACAAAATTGATTGAGAATCAAGCATGTATTCCCACGATAAGATGGTGACATTGATATATTAGGATCTGAGATTTAAACAATTTCAGAGCTAGAGGGTAATTTAGGGACATCTAATACTTTGATTCACTTATTTTACAAAAGAGAATTAATATGTACCTCTAAGTATGATTATCTTTAATGCTATATTTCCCCTTTTATTTAAGGGGAAGATCAAGAAATGCCACCTAGTTTAGGACTACAGAAGTCAAATTTATAAATCAATCTAAAAGGAGTAAACTTTTCAAGACTAATTTTTAAGGGACTCATGCTGTTTCCTTATAATCACCATTTTCTTCACCTAATTCCTACAAAGTCATCCATCTAGTAATTTATTTTAGGATATTTTCCTGCTTTCCTATGTTTTGCTTTTTTCTCCTTATTCCAAAATGAAGTTTGAAATTCCCTTTTAATATCTGTGGGTTTTGCTGGGGAGTGAGGGGGTAAGTTTCTGCTCATCATGACCTTTAACCTTCCTTAGTGACACCATAGCTGCCATCTCCTCTGGCTCACCTGTCTTTGTCATTAGTACATAATCTTTGTAGTCGAACTTGTGGAGCTAAATGCAGGTAAATACTTTGTAAACTATAAAATTTTCTGAATGTTTATGTCCCCCCATTTATTCCTCCCAAGTGTTGTGATCATATTGTCAGAATTTCATTTTAGAGCCACATTTTTGCTGAAAATCGTGGTACAAATATATATATGTTTATTTCAAACACACTAAGTATTGCTTTGTTTCCAAGGGAACAAATTCTATTTCAGTCTTTTTTGGTTTTGCTCCCCCTGCCCCCGCCCCTGCCCCCCACTGCCAGTGCCTTCACAATGCTGTATTTAGAACAAATTTATTAGCCCCAGGCATTGCTTGCTTTCCTGTGTACACTTCTCATAGGATAACTAACTCCCAGGTAAAGTGACAGAAAGGTAAATCGGCGAAGGAACATGTTAGTGTTCTTGTCAGCACTTGGGCCTTGTTCTCGAAGGGGCTGAAATTCTTCTATTTCCTCAACAAAAATGTGATTTCAAGGAGTATGTTGCCAATATGTACCACTGCTGAGGCACTGGTGTGTGGAGTTAATAGTCACAACAACAAGGTTGGGAATACATAGCTGCAGTATTTTCTGCCAAGCAGGGAAAAAGTCAGACCGGCTCAAATCTGCAGGAACAACTTGTATCTTTGGCCTTCTCTCTCTCTCTCCTTTTTTTTTTTTTTTGGTGCTTTTTGACTGTTTTACCTTCCTCCAACCCCTCACCTCTTTACCTCTGGCCATCACCAATCTGTTCTCTGTATTTAGTAGGAGTTTTTTTTTAATTTCACATATAAGTGATATCATACAGCATTTGTCTTTTTCTGTGTGGTGTTTTTCCTCTTTATTCTTCTCTTTCAGTTTTCCCTCATTTTCTTCTACCTCCACGTATAAATTATTTAAAAAACACCAATATGATGATATGTTGAAAAGAAGTTAAGGACTTGCAGCCGATGCCACACTATAGCAACACCAGTGACAGCACCTGGAAGTTTCTAAGAACCACAGCGGGCATCCTTAAAATTCACCTTCCTAAATTCCACTCTGAGGAGATTGTTTCTGAAAGTAAGTTCTTGTCAGGCTCCTAAAAGTGCCAGAATCAAGGACAGCTGGCATCCTAGTTCATGCGAAAAGTAAAAATGTCTTCAGATATACAGGTGCTCAGTCTATGTTATTACAAA